TTCTGTGCCTTCGTCGCGGAATCGTCTTAGATAATGTCGCTGCGGCGTACACGCATAATCATCCCGACATCTAGCCGAACAGCATTTTCCCGCGAAGGCGCCGTGGAGGCTATGGCCGCCACGCCGGTGGCGACGGCCAAAATGGACTTCTGGCCTTGACAACGACATGCAGCAGGTTTCGGGATCTCAAGGTTTGAATGGCTGTACGTGTCCTTCGCCGCATGATGGGGAGCGGCATAAGAAGAGACTTGCCTATGGATTTCGGGAGTCTTCACGGCCTGGAATCAACATCTCTTCTACCATCCCCACACGACCAGGCCCGTTTGCTGTATGATGTTCACAAACCTCAAAAACGCCAAAGTTTGAAACCATGCTTGGCTTTGACGGCAAGAGAAGGGCACACGTGCACCACTGAGGAGCTAGCTGCCGGCCATCGCGGTTTGTGCAAAGCTACAACTAAAAGCGGTGCCGAGACTACACAGAAGCACCTTGAGAAAATCTTCGGATGCCGGGGTTGCCAGTTGCTAAGCGTGCTAGACGTGGCAAGCACGGCAAGTAGGAAACGTGCCATGCACGTTCTTTTGGTTTTGGTTTTGTTGAGGTGACAAATCATTCGTAACATCTTTGCCGTCTTGTCTGGTTAGGTGAGGACTTCCATTTTGGCCACTCCTTGCGGAAATCTCACGTGCCATGAAACTTCAACAATCAAGCGTGGTCAAACACGCGGCCCTCCTCCATCCAGCCCAGGCCACCTCCAGCCCCTCCTCCATGCCCCCTCCATCCAGACATGCCAAACATACTTACTAACCCAAGCCCTGGACCCTACCCCCTACATTTGGGGTGTTGGGGTGTAGGGTTTACACAGGGTGAACAAGGAGGCGCATGAGAGAGCCAGCTGCGAGTGGTCTCTGTTTTTTGCCACACAGGCCAGAGTCAGTTGACTGTCACTGCGCTTGAACCTTGACGTGCTATGCAGGGTCGTGTAGTCGGCCTGACTGCCTTCATACACTCAGGTCTGAATTAATTGCGGAGCCGGATCGCACGGGTGGCGTGCTACCTGGCACCTCACTCCAGGTTCATGCCTCCAACTTCCAGGTGGTCTTGCTGAGCTCCTCAGGCGGTGAAATTCACAAAATTCTGCTCTCAAGCTTAAGGGACAAGATGAGCCGACATGACCCAAGGATGCTCCCAAAACAATGCTGTCCTTCGGGCTTCGGCTGGCGCGTCATGCGCATCATGTTCCTGGAAAATGCTGGAAGGGCACCAAACCACCAAACCCTTCGCCCTGTCTATGGCAGCCGCGAGCCCATCTGTATACACCTGAACTTTACCACAGTGCCACCAAAAGTCCCGCCGGCACTCACCAACACTGCGAAGGGTAGAACCTCATCGAGCAGCAGCGTGTCTAGACGAGCTGCTGAAACTCTTCGCCAGAGTGCAGCTAGCCAAGAAGACACAAACTCATGACCAACGCTGCAGCTCGTGAACCTCTCCGGCCGCCTAAACACATCTAAACCCAAGAGGCTCTAAAGACCCCGAAGCCGTGCAGTGAGCCAACGGGATTCCGGCCAAGCGTAGCCCACGACATATCGGCCTGTAAAATTCACTGCATCTCTAAGTGGTTTTCGTTGAGGATGGAGGGTGTGTGCGAAGGCTTCAGCGAAGTGCAGTTGCAGTCTGATCGCCGACTTGCGTGGTGGCCTGGATTCCAGGCTGTTTGCCGCTGAGCAGGACGTGCCTCACACCAGCTGGTTGTAGGGGTTTATAAGGTTTCGGGGTTGTGGGCTGCATGGACAAGACTGCCATCAACTTGACCTTCTCGATCTTTGCTGGACATGGGATGCAGAGGCACTTCATGCTACTGGTAGACAGGCATGTGTTGCCTTGGCCCTACTCTTGCCTATAGAGATCCCTAAAGCTCAAAAGCCTCAAACCCGTTGTGAGCTCAGCCACACTGGAGAAGCAGCAGCACAACCAGCAGCAGGTCGGAGCCTGGCGCTGTGTTGAGCGCAAGCCTAATGCAACTTTAATAAAACCCGTCAACCTATAAACGCTAAGCCTGTACTTCAACCTCAAAACTTAAACCCCAACAACCTCAACCCCCAAACCCACCACGCCACAGAAGGGAACAAAGGAAGGTGGGGGGGTGGGGGGGCGGGGGGGAGGGTGCAGCTCAGCGCACCATGTTTCGAGCAGGTGAACTTGCTGCTCCTGGAAGCTGCCACTCGCACAGCCTTGGCGGAAAGAAGTGTTGCCAGAACATCTGACTGGAACGAAGTGACTGTGGTCGTTTTTTGCGCATGGCCATGGCAAGGTAAGCTTCTTCTGACTGCAACCCTCACTGTCGTGGCGTCGGGTAGTGCTTATTCCTTGTTCGCAGCATTCATTGGTTGTTGACGTAAAGAAAGGCCGTAAGCCACAAGCGAGAACAAGCAAAGCTCTTCTGGTCTCGGTCGGTTGCGCATTCCCTTCACCCAACAAGAACTGCGCCGCCCTAGCATTCAGCAGCCACCAACACGTTAACACACTTCACCATACCTCACCCGAACGCAGAATGCCTCCCAAACCCGAAAAAGCTAGACCCAGCTCAATAACAGAGCTAAGCCAGCTAAGCGTCGAGCTATGTCCAGGCCTGTCATTAGGGCAGCCAGCACCGTTACTGCATCAACCTGGGTATGGCTTTCGGGATTTGTTTCTTCAGATGTTCAGGATTTAACGCGAGCAGCTGCCAACAGCAGCTCAGTAGCCCATTGTTCGACGGGCTGCCAGCAAAAAAAGCCACTAAGTTTCTCTTCCAGAAACCCTACTGAAGATAGTGCACTTGATGCTGGGATAGGACCAGTAGGAAAGTGAACCCAAACATGCACCAGGATATAACCACAAACAATCCGCCAAGTACCCTCTGAATATCCGGTGTTTCTGAAGCTTGCTTGCTCTTGCACAACACTCTCTGATCCAGCGATCAGGTCATGTGAAAGCAGACCTTGGAGTCTGAGCCTGGAAGCTGTGAACAGAAACAGCAGACATACCTTCAGCCCTTAGAGTCCCCATGGTGAAGTTCTTAGAGCCGCAATGGCAAGTATCCTACTTGTACGTTGCTTGTGCTACGCCACAGCTGATCTCCCATGCCTCAACAGGATGCTGATGCTACCTGCTGCTACTGCCCAAGCTGACGCTCGGGCCGAAGCTCATGCTGCCTGCAACCATACTGCAGAGCCCTGACGAAAGGCGTCTAGCACCAAGGGCCATACAGCCCTGTCAATCTCTGAAGCAGCTTATAAGCCTTCAGGGCACCCTGCCAGGGACGTACCAGGTGCCATGTAGATGGCGGCCAGTGCGACGACCTCCCCACGGATAAGGGTTCGAAGAGCGACATTTGACGAACTCGGGGTTTCCGAAATTAGGGGTACCTTGTCGGGGTCCTTATGATCAGGGAATCCTGCTATTTGGGGGTCTGTGCTAGGGTTCCCTTCTTATCGTACACCCCCAATTCGTGTCAGATAAAGTTCGGGCCGGGGCTGTCGCTGCCCCAATCTCGTCTTACACCATGGCGGCTCCCGGGCTAAGTGGCCCACAAGCTGTGCAGCACCCCTTACACTTGTTATAAAATATGGGGCTGTTTACACTACTATAACTACTATCTTAAGACTAGTCATTTTTTCAGTAGTCGAAAGACGAATAATTATCAAATTTCCAATCACTTTCTTATTCCCATGAATTTACATGTCTTTCACTCATTTCGCGGGCATTGAGAGAAAACCTTAGGCCCTTCTGAATGTACCAAATTATACCCCCAACACTGTAATAAATAGGGGGTGCTAAAGGGGCCTTGCAAGTATGCTTTAGAAATAGCCCCTTTAAAGACACCACAAGCTAGGAAAATTTGTCCCGCACCCGGCAGGGCTTGTCAGGATCTTGTCAGGGTTAGGGTTTGGGGCACCCCTTAACCCGAACCCTGAAACCCGAATGTAGCATCTGCTGCCCCCTGAAAGTTTCGCGAAGGTTTCGGGCATGGTCGGCAACTCACCTACATCTCAGGCCCATCCAGGAGACTCCAACAAACCCCGTGCACGGAGAGGCTCTCGGACCTTTGCTGCGATGAGGCCGCCAAGGTATGGAGCCTGAACGACCGAACTGCGCAAGGTTGGTGTTCAGGCTCAGAGGGCTTAAAGATATATATATATACACACATACATATACATGTCATGAATATATATATATATATATATATTCAACCCGCAGTCGATTTGGAAGCTGGGGGACGTGCCCCGAGACGAAGCACCGCCTTTGCGAAGTTCTGCATGGCTCTCAACTACAGACATAGCTGAAGAGCTCAGGAAGACGACTGCGAAGGGGGGGGGCTTTAGATGGCTTTAGGCGGTAGGGCTCCTGGCTCAGTAGCTGAGGAAGTGTTGCCGCGAACCATCACCTGCTTCGCATTGCCACAGCAGCATAATGACTTGAGTACTTGAGCAAATGGTGGGGGAACACGGGATTCAGAATATGGCTGCAGTGCACGTAAGCTGATGCCGGGATTCATGGTGTGCAGCCGCTGCAATAATCGACAAGATGCGAAGTATTGCGATCGTCCTGTCATTTAATGTCTACCACATGTGGCATCAATGCCTTTGCACGCCTTTGTTGCTCAGCCATCTGCTGAGCTACGGCACATGGATTGTGAGAGCTGGGCTGGCATCTTGGTTTAGGGTTTAGGGTTTAGGGCTACTTATACTTCTTTGCTTGGCAGGCTTGACCCAAGCATCTATCATGCATTGAGACGACTCGCGCCAGCTCACCCAGTGACACGAGTTGGGTAGTGCACCGCGCACATCTGCTGAACAACGTGGTACTGAGAAAGCAATCCTCTTGAAGCAATGTTGCAAAGTATCGCACTCATGAGGCATCATCAGACAGCACGGATGCATACTGCATACTGTGAGTCGACGACGTGGACTTTTCGCTTTGTACAACCCCGTCGCAGCTCTGGCAGCCCGCGCAGCTCATTCCTCGACAGCACCATTGGCCAGCTCCTGCAGAGCACTCACTGTCACCCTTTCAAGCAGCCCAAAAGATGGATACCTTCCATGTAGCTGAAGGCTCGCATCGCACAAAAAAGGGCTAAGTCTGGGACCTCTGGCAGCTTTCTCTTCCTTGCGGTGGGTGTTGACGCCTTGCTGTCTGTACTCAAGGTTCGATTGTGGTCTAACCCATGCCGCAAACATAAAAAGCCTGAGTCGTAAGTCCCTCCAGCAGGCTCCAAGCTTAAAACCTTCAAACCCATGAAGCGCCCCTAAACCCCTCAACCCTAAAACCCTAAAACCCTAAACCCGGAACTCAACCCGACAACTGGCACTGAGAGGCTGAGTGCCACAGCCGCTCCTGAGTTCTGCACTGGCGCCTGGCTTTCAGTACCATCCTGAGAACACCCCGAGGCACGTCAGGTGTTGCTGAGTCTTTCTTGCTCGTCTTGACGGGTTGTTGCTTGGGGTTCAGGGTTTACTCAGGGGAAGCAACATTCATCATGATTTATGGTGGGCTTGGGGTTTTTTTCAGGTTCACGGCTTAAGTCTGACATTGATGTCCGCATTCCGACAGCACTGCTGGACACATCCGACCGAAGGCGGCATGTAATCCAGACCCTGAACCCTGCAAGGCCCTAAACCCTAAACCCTAAGCCCTAAGCCCTAAGCCCTAAACCCTAGACCTCCTGAACCCTGGATGCTCCGTGGCGGGCCTCCTTGGGAGCTTCGGTCAGGGTGTCACCCTGGAGGGTCGCCACGCCTCGTGGAGCTTGCAGCTTCTAAGACAATTCGGCAGAGCACTTCTAGCATCGCAATCTGGCTTTCACATGCGCATACACTCAAAGCGTCTTCAAGCTAGGATACCTTGTGGTTGGGGATGCTACACAATACACATCTCTTATGTCTTACCCCCAAACCGATGGAAAATGGTGATCTCAAATCAGGTGACTAGCAACAAGATTTCAAACCACCAAAAAACAATTTGCTAATCAAACAGTTCGTTCGTCTGCAACTGCAGCAATAACAGATCGCATCGGGCGTCCATGGTTGCGCAACAGCAGGGACATGCTAGCGCCGCCTTGAACAAACCCTAAACCCTACGCCACAACTCAGTAACCACCAAATCCTGTCTTTCTTTCTGTGCCTTCCGAGTCTGGAGGCAGTGTGGCTGCAGCAGAGATGGCTGCTGCCGTTGTGGTCTCTGTGGCCCTGCCCTGGCAAGTCAGTGTGCACATGCAAAAAACTTCGCGCATGCTGTACTTCGGCAGCTATATATCGCACTGGGGGTTCACAACCTAGGGTTTGGAGGGTTGGAAAGACTGTACCACTCTCTTGCTGACTTCTACACTGGCATCCCACCTCCAGCTTCACAAAAACAAGAAGCCGAATTGCCAAATGATGTACTGTTCACGGCTTTTGACAGCATCGCTATTTCAAGAAGCCACCCCGGACAAACAGCACAAGTGACCCTCTAGCTTCAGACCCTGACCAAATCGAGTGCCAGCATTTGGTGGGAGCGATCTGTCTGCTTTCACATGACGACAAGGCCAGCAATGACCTGCCTATATCCCAAACTTCACGAAGAAGTATCATCGCCCGTGGTGCGTGGTGCGTGTGCGTGGTGCGTGGTGCGTGGTGCGCGGTGCGCGGTGCGCGGGGTGCGCGGGGTGCGCGGGGTGCGCGGGGTGCGCGGGGTGCGCGGGGTGCGCGCGTGGTGCGCGTGGTTGTGTGGTGCGCGTGGTGCGCGTGGTTGTGTGGTGCGCGTGGTGCGCGTGGTGCGCGTGGTGCGCGTGGTGCGCGTGGTGCGCGTGGTGCGCGTGGTGCGCGTGGTGCGTGTGGTGCATGTGGTGCGCGTGGTGCGTGGTGCGGGTGGTGCGTGTGGTGCTTGTTGTGCGTGGTGCGTGGTGCGTGTGTGTGGTGCGTGGGGTGCGCGTGGGTGTGTGAGTGTGTGTGTGGGCGCGGGTGGTAAAGACGGCTGGCCAATCCATTGGAAAATATCCTCTTTCGATTTACTGGCTGCTCGCTCTGGGCGGCGGTATTGGAGGTCCTGGGGATCCTGGGGTCTTTAACCCAGTCGCTGCATATGCATATCTACGAAACACAGACCCAAAAAGGGAACCCAACTAACCTACTACGAAACCTGAAGAGCTTCCAGCCCTAAGGATTTGTTGTGCTTCTGGGAGCCCGAGAGCGAAGCTGCCTCGGCAGCATCTAGCAGCAGACCTGCCGCCGAGTCAGGGTCGGGGAGCTTATGAGGCCTATGGGCCATGATCCGGATGAAACCTAGGGTCCGCTGCAGGACGATGGCTTGATGTGGCAAATGGGACAAACACAACTCTGGAATAAAACCTGCCAAGCTTGGCTTATGGCTAGAACGCAGGGGCTGCTTCTGATTGAATGTGGCGGTCAAGATGGGTTTCGATTCAGTTCTTCTGCTTCCACAAGGTGCCAGACATGATTGTGTGCACCAGCCGATGCAAATTGTGGGGAAAAACATATCCAAAATCTGACACCAGGCCCCAGTTTACGTTTTCGGATACGGTTTAAGTGATTAAGTGCATTCTGGATACGACTGTGTCACGCTGCTTTTGGAGGAGTGCGGGTGTTTTCATAGTCTATGCAGGGTCATATTGCAGTAGCATACAGCCTCCGAAACTGTACTCATAGCGCGCGTAGATGAATTTGAGCGAACCGAAACCATATTTCTACAATGTCCTAGTGTGTCCTCCCGTTGCTTCGTAGTCATATTACTCAATGATTTCGTCTGTGTATGCCAAACCTTGAAAGAAGTTATGAGAACAATCCATGTCTGGATTTCAGCGAACTTGGGCTCAGGGGTTTAAGGTTTAGAGTCTTCAATGAACCTGAGCCCTAACACCCCAACCTGCCAAAAGCCTCGAATCCCAAACACCAGAAGTAGCCCCGCGGCCACAAAGCCCCCCAAATCCTACAATGCTAGACAGCTTTGAGCGGCGGATGCCGCACTACCGTCTTCAGTCTTGGGGCTAAGGCCTTCCGAGAAAAGGGTCTGTTTAAGCATGATTGAGCGTTTGAAGCTTTACGAATGCGCAGGATTACGAGCCCATCCGCTATAGGCCCAGAGGCGAATCAACGCCTCCGTGTTCGTTGCCCTTCAAGCTCTATAAATATCCCTGAATATCCCCCCCTCGCATGTAACAGGAGAGAAAGAGACAGAGAGAGAGAGAGAGAGGCATCAACTAAACGTCACAGTAACCCACGCCGGCCTCCAGGGCCAGAGAGCTGCAAGACCGGGACGGCACGAGGGGCCAGTGCCTCCCACAACCCTTCAGACAACGGCTCTCCAGACGATTCTTGTGGGGGGAACACTTGTCTTGTTTTTCAGTAGGGTGTCTTGAGATGAGGCTACCGGCTTCAGATGGTTTCTATTGGGGATGGGAATGTCGAAAGAATCTGAACCCTCAACCCCCGGTCGTGAGCTTTGAGAATGGCTCTGTGGCAAGGTTTCAAGAGGCACTTTGCCGGGACTGCAGGTGTCAGGACCAAGGGGAGGGAATAGGGGGGTTCAGACCTCAACACTGAACCCCCGACTTTGAATCGAAACCCGATCTCTCTCAACAGGCAATGAGAAGCTACCGCACGGCTTAACTATGATTAATCTCTAATCCCTCAACGCTTCACATCTCTACGCAAAAGTCTGAATCCGAGGAAAGCCTGTTCTGTAGACTCGATTACTACTGCTCAGCAAGGCCTCCTCTGTCGTCGTTATCAAAATCGCTCGTTGAAGCGCATACATGAACTTCCTGTCAGTGCTGAGGGGTTCTCGGCCGCGAACTGCTTGGCACAAAATACTAGTTACAAATGTTACAGGCACGGAGAATTGTGCAAACCCCTGGGCTATTCTACGAAGGAAAGGGGCCGCCCGGGAAGGCTTGAGAAACTACGTTGTGAGAAAGGCCCTGGTGCACAGCTTCAGATTAAGGTGCCCGAGACCCGAACGACCCAACATCGCGGGTCGAGTTTCGAAGCCTGCAACTTCTTCAACCCGGCTTCAGCAATTCACAACTTTTAGGGTCAAACTTTAAGTGGCTTCAGGTTGGGATAGGTTGAGGGCGGCCGGCCGACATGATCTTCAATATTCTCCATTTTCTGGGGAGCGACATGTATATGTCTAGATGTAAAAAGATATTAGAGGTACAGCTTGGAAGAACTTGCGGGCATCGATGCGCAAAGATATATCTTGTAGATAATGAGCCCGAAGTGCGTGTTCTGTCCTCAACTCTTCGCAAGAGCGCCACAACCCTGTCGGCCCGCAGTATCTTCGAACAAGTTGACATAAGTCTACCAACTCCCACATCCAAAATCCTCCTTCTGGGCACTGCCGTCCTGGTGGACTTGTAGCTCGCCCGCGGTTGCGCGAGAAGCTCGCAAAGTCTCTGTGTGGTCCATGGAGCACCTGGCGTTGAACATTCGCGATCAAGTGCCGAGTTTAGGGTTAGGAACCCCAACTAACCTCCGCGCCCTTCGGGTGCCTTCCCGACGCGGCTCCAACAGGGACTGCGTCAGTGGCTCTACCGCACTCTGCTGGAAGTTCTCGCCTCCACTGGCGGCGAGTTTGCTTGTTTGGTTGCCCGGGCCGGGGTTCGGGGCTTCTAAGCTGAGTGGAGCAACTTCAATGTAGCGGGTCATGGGGAGCCTTGAGGAATTTAAGCTGGGCACACAACTACACATCCCGGGAAGCAAAGCCCCAACAAATCCAATCCCTGGTTCGAAGTGTTCAGGCCCTTCCGCACGACAACTCAGCACCGCTCCTTCACGCAGAGTCAAATCTGGCACGTCGCGCCAAAACTCTGACAGAACCTTCTCCATTTTTTTGACCTGCGTCGGAAGAGCTGCGCACATACAGGGCCCTGCCGAAAGTGTAACCCTATGGATCACCTACAAAGAACGCCGAACAGTGATGCTCACTTCAGGATCAACTGCGAAAATTGAAGCTGGCGGCCGATCCCTGCTCACCCATCTGAGTCCACAGCCAGAAGTATTCGCAAGGCATCCCAGGGATAGCATGCTGCCTCATCGCGGAGCGGTGTCACAGACACAGACACAGACACAGACACAGACAGAGACACAGACACAGATACAGGCACAGACACAGACACAGACACAGACACACGCACCCATCCACGCACCCACCCGCGCACCCACCCGCGCAGCTGTTTCGCTTCGACTCCAGCTTCTGATTGGTCGTTGCAATGGCCGACACTTGTTCTGAGGTTCAGCGAGGTTTCTGGGCCAATCACGCCCGATCCCCCAATTCCTGCTTACCCACCCACCCATGCACGCACATACACGAGCGCCACACACACACACAGACAGACAGACAGAGACAGACAGAGACAGACAGAGACAGACAGAGACAGACAGAGACAGACAGAGACAGACAGAGACAGACAGAGACAGACAGAGACAGACAGAGACAGACAGAGACAGACAGACAGACAGAGAGACACACAGACACACGGACAGACAGACAGACAGACAGACGGACAGACCGACGGACGGACGGACGGACAGACAGACAGACAGAGACACACATACACACTTTGCAGAAAGCTGTCCCGTTTGGGAAACCCCTGCTAAAGCAGGTGAAAAAGGGTCCTCCGCTCCACCGTGGGGCACAAAAAGCTAGGCTGGATGATGATGCGGAGATCGAGACGGCATCGCCGCTCGCCACCAACTTGTCTGTTGCTTTTTCGTACCATGCTGTCATCGCCTACCCTAAACGCTGACACTGAAACATACTCAAACCCCACCACCCTATGCACACCACCCTATATAGCTGCCACAAGTCTGGGGTACTGACCGCCCCAGTTTCTGCCAGGTTGCGAATAATACCTGGCATGGGTCAATTTTTGGATCTAGGGTCTTTTCGGCTTTTGGGACTCTTGAGCTTATTTTGGATCCGGCCTGAGCCCACCCCCAAGCTTGAACCCGACATGTCGAAAGCCAATCCGCTTGCCTTCCAATTCGTCAGACAGAGTCAGCTCCTGTTGCGCCCAGGACTCAAGCTCTCACAGAGTACAGGTACCCCCTTGTTCTAACAGTCCTGAATAGGGATTAAACTAGGGCACGATAATCTGCATTCAGGACTCTTAGTCTAAGGGGGAACATCCCAAAGTATGGTATAGGGGTTACAGGTTCAGATGAAGAGAACAGGGATGGAGTTCTGCGGTCGATTTCGAACTACATGGGGTATGTCATCTTTCTCTCATTCGGTGAGAATATGCAGCACCCAGCACCCGAAGTAGACGCTGCAAAGCAGAAAGTTTGCAGCAATCCCGGAAATATGCATCAAGGAATAAGAATCCCCAAGTAGACGCTGCGTTTGAAGTAGGCATGTCGAACATGCAGAAACCTCGCATATGTGGCAGACGCTACGATATTTACGCGCGTCTTCATGCAATTCTGCTTAATACCCCGATTTGAGCTTATAGTGCTTTTGAATTCTGGAGGAGGCCCCCACAGGCTCACTTGTGCTAGGAGTCTACGGGGAAGTCTAGCTTTCTTAACTTAAAATTCAAAGACTTCCTATTTGTCTCAGAATTTGGAGGTGGTACAAGACGAAAATGCCTTCTAGTTATCCACTTCTTTCTATGACATGATCTCACTGGCGCAGTAACTCGTGTTTGCCATGAAGAAGCGTATGCACCACTTCGGCTGCACAACCCCTTACCTTAAAGCCTACAACCCAAGATTAAGGTAGCAAAGGGCCTTAAAAGTACAGGACGCCGTAGACAAGGGATAAAATACGCACAACACGAATAATATGAAGGTCTCCGGCCAGAGAATCTAACCAGCGCGCACCACTGCCACAACACAACGGAACCTGACGTCCTGCCTCTTCTGCAGCGGAGGCGAACTGTAACAGTGCTTCATGAGCACTTCCTTTGCTTTCGTTGCCACCCTCCTGCGCAGCACCAGGACAGCGTGCGTCAGGCTTGCCCAAAGTCCGCAGACAAGATACCAATGAAATGAACATTCTCGGTTCATAAAGAATGCGTAACGATGCTGTTCTGGCTGCTATGCGACATGCATAATTACTGTGAACTGTTTCGAAGCAACCTCCCGCTTTCTGGGCGGGTTCCCTAGCAACTACAGTACGCACGAAGCACTTACACGCCCACTGCAGTCTAAAGTCAGCAGATACGTACTCAAACGAGGCTCGAAAAAAGATGTGCTGGCTTCAAGTGCCCCGTCTGTATAAGGTGAGGCTGTACGTCAACAGGCTTCGTATCATCCAGCAGCACCCTGCGGCCGCTCCAGGCTTTAAGAGAAACTCCTCCTATATGACGTGGCGAGGAGGGATCGACAGCACGGCAACTTTCTTTAGCTTTGTCTGCAATAAGAATGCAACAATGATGAAAGAGGCATCCTCTGCAGGTGACGCCGTCATTCTCGGCGAACACTACCCGAGATCGGAGCCAGAACGCCGCGGGCGTTGCCTAATGTCACGGACAGTGGGCTTAATTTTGGAGTTCTGCGTGCGAGCTCTGTCTGTGGCTGCGTGGTTCAAAAACACCAAAACTATGAGGCTCGCTATGAATCCTTGTAGGCTGCGCACTCCCCTGCTTCAGGTCACTGTGGTTTACGGCCTTCTCCACGGGCAATTTCGCGAGAAGAACTGCACTGGGTGAAAAGCCGGTATCCAGTTTTGGACAGGGCGTCCAGAGCTTCATGCATCTGAATTCACTCGCCTATCAAGCACCGAGGCACACATGTTACGTTTGGAACTGTTCTTCGACAACGTGAAACCAGCTTCTTATCACCGATGGTGAGAAACATGGATGCCACAATCCCGCAAGCCCCAGAGGCCCCCATTTTTAAGGCCCCATGTCGCCCCATCTTCTCTCTCAGGCAGCGCCGAAGATGTGCTCGTCGGTGCGATTCTTGGTGGACGTTGCCACGCCGGCCTCGATGAAAGGTTCAGATGGCCATAGAGATGGCCTGATATGCTCTCAGATTTTCGGGCCCTCAAGGGCGTCGCACCTTAGGCACTGGTACAGAGAGCCGTACATGTCATGGCAAATAACTTGTACGGAGCGGCGTACGCCTCAAGCTCCAAACGCCGGATCCTTCCGACCGCCACCACTCTAACCGACATCTAAAAGCCCGAGTCCCCCCATGTCAGCTGAGGGACTGGAGCCATTCGGGACGGATCCATGTGAGCCAGCTGAGCACGCAGCTCCTGCACCTCAGCCGACAAAATTAAAACGACCCAGGCCCTCAACTACTTGTTCCTAAGTAATGGTGGGATTGAGGTTTGAGGGAGTAACTTAGGAATAAAGATTCGTGGTGTAGCCTTTGTTGCGTCAGTGGATCCGTCCCATCTTCTGGTGCAACACTTGTGCTCGTGACTCGGGCTTCGGGATGCTTAAGGGTTTACGGTCTAGAGAGTGATGGTTTTATGCGAGACCCTGAACGCCTCCCATCGCAAATGCCCCCATAAGGCCGGAACCTCATGCTCTACAGCTTCTCTTCTCTGGCGCTCATTCTCCAGCTCCTCCGTCAGGGTGGCTTGCTGCACAAAAGATGTCATGTCTTGCCCCAGCTACTTACCTTGGCACACGCTACACGCGCTGACAGACTGCTACTTAACAAGCCGGCAGCACGATGGATAAAACGCTCGACCTGGGCCGAGTTGCAGTTGAACCAGTGGCAGGTGTCGCCATGCACAACCCATGCTCAAAGTCGCGGAAGAATAAACCGACAAGCCTGACTCTTGAAAGCTCAATGGATCTTGTTGGCAAGAACTGCCAGGAAAGGGCACAGGCAAAGCCAGCCCTGCGCCCGAAGCCACACACACACCGACACCGGGGCTGCAGCCGTGCATGGCGCGAGTATGAGCCCAACGATGAAAAGCCCGCCGTTCTAAACGAGCTTGAGGAAGCCTGGAGCTCGGCGAGATTTGCGAGGCTACCAAAACCCGTTTTCCATTCCAAAACCCCGCCGACTGAAACCGAAACCCTCGAGAGTCTCAACCGCTCTCAGGCCGCTGCCGTGCGGCTCCGGGTCAGGCTCGAATCTCGGCGCATGGATGCCACCGGGGGGCTTTAAGGGGGCATCTGAACGGTTCACGGTCCGGGTGTCGATCAGGGTTTAGGAGGGTTGGGACTCCACTCGCAGCTCGGCGACATGCACAAAACCTCTCGACCCTGGGCCCGGTCCTTCAACTCAAAAAGCCTGCCAAGCAGCTCGAAGAGGAGAGCTCTGATGTGCTTCTGCTCGAGGTTAACGAGGACTGCGCGCCATGCGGGCTAAGGTTTTGTGAGGTTTCGAGGCCAGCTTGAAAACCACTTAACCCTCTACAGGCTGCTCGCCAAAGGCGCCTGAGATTTGTGCTGCAGCGGGACGTCGTAATTCCAGGAGAGCGGATCTGAGTTGACGAATGCACACGAACCAACTTCAGTGGCCCCGGAAACTTATGAACTGGTCAGACGTTGTGTACAACTTCTGTTTGGGAGAAGTTCTGAACTTAGGACATAACCCGTCAGCATAGTTATTACTAAGTCCAGAACAAGATCAGAACAAGTTGTTCTAGTGTTTTGTGTGCTTTCCCATCATCTCAATTTGTGTTATTGTTGAGCAGAAAGTCATCGCGCACATATTTTGTCCTTGCGAACTTCTTGTAGTTTCTCCACAACCATTGCCTGCTGAGTTGGCATTCTCGTCGATTGCTGTAAGCCGGCTAACCAGCAAGTACAGCCCCTTGAGCAACAGTTGCCGTTCCCAATTGTTCCCAGGATTTGCAGTGCCTCAGACGCAGAAATCACGGAAAAACAGCAGACGAGAACGAAGGGGTGCATATGGAG